TTTTGGAAAATAGCTGGAAATAAAGTCTGTGGAAAACGAACCTGTTTGATAAATGCAGGTTTTGTTCAGCCGGATAATCTCTGCATGTCTACCCTACTTTGATAATTTTCTAATCATAAATCTAATCGATAGATTATAAAAGGGTTTTAGGACGCGTCACTGCACCACTAGAAGGCAACTCCATCGATCAAGCTGGCTGAAACTTTCTCTCCCTCTTCTTCTCATGCTCCCTGTCACTCTCCTTTAACTCCTCCGGTGACTTTCTTTTATTTGAAGATTGTTTTTTGCCCGGCGCTTGGCCGGTTACCGCTGGTATTAAAAACATTTTGGCGAATGGTTAGGCGGCGCGATAGTCTGTAGTGAAGGAGCGCACTCCCGCTCACGGGAGCCTGCTCGCGCTGCGCTCCGCAGCAAACAGCTGTTTGCTTTTCACCCAACAATGACAACTGACTCAAGAAACGCTATGTTGTAGCGTTGATAAACGAAACAATTTAACTAAATTGATAGTCAAAATACCAATACCACAGGAAACATTTTTTTTTAAACAATATTTTTAGTGGCCCGAGCGGGCAAGTGGAAAGTACGTTATGCTGGCCCGGGGTGTCTAAATAGTGCTTCCGGGCCAGCGGGCCAATTATAATGTCGAGCCCTGATTATGCTCCACCAATAAAAAATAAAACAGTGATGGGTGTGTAAAAGGAAACAAACTTACTCTAAACAGCTCCTTTAAGTCATAGAACTGACCATGTATATCACCACACACCTATGAGAGAGAACACATTATTAGCACATGTAATACTTATTTTTTTAATGATAAATATAAGCTACAAAGAGCAGTAATTCAATGTGACTTACTGTGACGGGGGAGTCTACTCTCTGGACATTGCTTTCCTCAACCAGAATCTCTCTGAAAATAAATACAAATAAAGCAAGATTGGTCAACTTTACATCATCACTTATATTACAAATGCCAGAGCAATGTAATGAGGGGGAAATCCTGGTACTGTTAACCCTAGCTAACCTACGGAAAAAAGCTTTGTGCAACATAAATTCTAATAAATAGATTTACCTTGTGGTTTCTTATTACATTCTAATTTAAAAACAAAAGTGTTATGACAATGTCAATGCAGGGCAGGATATGAAATAAGCCACAAAACCATTTATAAATTGTACCAAAGTGTATTTATAAGTTTTAATATACAAGCATGGCTGGAGTAAAGTATTGAAATAAAGATTGGCTCTTTGTTCACATCTATCCTCCTTCACATGTCACAGTGCTGCTCATAACAGCGTTTATCCTTGCTTGAGTAGCACTGAACTCTTGATGAGTCGCCGTTCATAGCAGAATGCACTGAGCTCATTTAAATTCTATGCATGCAGTGATTGGAAGCGATCTGTCAGTCCTTAAGTACTGATCCTGATCAAATTGGTGTTTGCACTGTGTTAACAAGGGTATTGTGATACTTTTCTAATATCAGTATATTATTCAACATGTATGCCTCCACCAAACAAACAAACAAGTTGCAATTTAGATGCATGTCTACATGAGGTAAATACTATATTCGAATAATATGTAGTAGGCTGTTAGGAGACCAGCATTTGTTAATTTAATTTGTGTGTTGAATGGTGGTATCTCACAGGAGACATTAGCTCTTATAATACTTTATATATAGTTTTCTCCCATGTGTGTGTATTGTGTGAAGTTGATCATTACCTGGCTTTGGCACACAGAGCCTTCACTTCATTTTCTTTGATGAGTTCACAGCGTCTGAGCTGCTCTATCTGTCGGTCCAGGTCACTGATGTCCCCCATAGTGACACACATAGGGAGAGCTGCTCACACAGAGACACACACTCTGGTTCTTCTGACACACACCGGCCCGGGACTCTAATGGGACAGGAACTACACACTCCCTCTTCGGAAACACACAGGGCTTCAACACTTGGTCAGCCTCTTCTTATCGAGACGCTCCGAATGAGAACTGTAACGGGAACAAACGGCCAAGCAGTTAAACAATGAATCTGAATATAGGCAAAGCAAGGCAGCCACATTTGAGTAACATGGATAAGATTCACGTTTTGAATGCAAGATAACCAACTAAGCAAATATGAATAATACCAGTTACAATAAACCTGAGAAATTCGACTTTATTCGTCCAGGAATGTGAGGCCTAAGGGCGTAGCTAAATGGTAAGCTAACCATTAGCACGCTAGCTTAGATCACAGCTAACTACGTCAGCGAACAACTGATTGTTTGATATCTCTGCCAACCATTTTGTTTAGGAATTCGTCCTGACGGTTAACAATAATGTCTACCGAGCGGTAGCTAACAACCGCCAATACTGTATGTGCTAATGAAATAAGAAGCGTGTTTAGCTTAGCTGTATGTTAGCTTGCTGCCTCTCGAGGCACCAGGCGGCGTCAACACTGTTAGCGCTGCTTGGCTAACTTTGTGAACAGAACAGCTAAGGCTAGCAACACAGGCTAGCTAAGGCTAGAAACACATATCAGAAGCATTCACACGACGCTGTAACACGAAACATGCGTTAGAGTGATTACCGTGAAGTGTATGATAGCTGAACGGTGACAAACAAACATATATTTGTTTCATCCCGTGGATTGATCCACCGGCTGGTTCTCTTCTTCCCACGGTAGCTAACGTGTTTTGCCGGGTCCAATCCTGCTCCCGTGCTCATGAACACGCACAACTTGACTATGACTTCCGGTATCGGGAGCGCGCCTGGGTTTGATAATTATACAGCTTCAGTGGTTTGACTATTTATAGGTTTATGGTTGAGTACATTTAACATGTTTTACTCATTGTACAAACTTCTAACAATGTTTCTCTCAAATTTAAAATGAAAATATGTTCAGTTGGAGAATGTATTTACAGAAAGTTGCAACTGGTCAAAAAACATGCACTGGTTTCAGAAAAGAACATTACAATAACAATGTTTTAACTTAAGAGTTCATCACCATTTGGATGAATAACCCTTTATATATACAGTCTATGGAATAACCCTGATTCACGGTCACAGCTCACAGCTTTAATGAGTGTTGACATCTTTCCATCCTCTGGCTGACTTTATGATTTTTTTCGTGAAATAAATATACATACTTATACATAAACTGTATATCCTACTGTGATGTGAAAACCTGAAGCATAACCTTAGATTGAGAATCTATCAATAGTAGAAGGGAGCAGGCACGGATGCAATGTTTAGAATTGAAAATAAATCTGACCTGTTGTGTAGAAAAACAATACCAGACATATGATTATTCAAGCTCAGTATTTTTATATGGAAACACATCGAAAGGAGATCTTTGAATCTTTTCCGCTGTTGCACAACTGTGATCATTTAGGGCCACATTTAACCACAGGGTGTCAGTAGTGGTTTGTTACTATACCTGAGGATATATGAAAAAAAGTCAGTAAAGTTTGGAACTGAATCAGAGCTAAAGGTTTAATGATTCATGTAGAACGATAAAAGAAATGAACACAAAACACATCGTTGATAAAAATGAGGCTCAACTTTCACTTTAATTACAGGTAAACTTGAGCTGAAAAGATGATTTGACAGAAAAGGATCAGCAATTATAATACAGTCATCGATTTTGGTCCAACAGAGCAATTCGAAGAAGTCACATTAAGTGAATTGTGATGAGCATTTTCATTATTATCTGACATTTGATTAATGTTTAAAGATAGAGTTATTGGGAAAATGGTCTAGACGTAACCGTCGTTAGTTGCAGTGCAAATGAGCAAAATAGCTAGGAATGAAATCATTCAATATAAAAATTCAAAGGTGGCAGCAAGCAGATTTGTATGTTCAATTGATTTGAAAACAGATGATCTGCATATGCATACATCAGAATACTTTATTTATCCAGGGGGAAATTGGGGTTTATGACTGTTGCTCCATTTAAAATGATATATATATATATATATATATATATATATATATATACGAAAGAGAAAGAAATACAAAATAAAAATAATGAAAATATTAATATAAACATAAGATGTTAAAGTAAACAATACAATTTAATAAAGATGTATGTACATTTAATAATATTAGTATTTTAAAGCTCTGGGCATAGTCCAGTTTTTCATATTGTTACACTATATTCAATATTAAAGCACACAAAAGACCTTTATCTTTGGTAGAAAGGTGTAGTAAAAGGCATGCGACCCGTTGTAAAAGTACCATAGACAGAGAAGCAACAACACAGGTCCGTCAGTTGACCTGCTTCTAATAAAGAAGGCACTAAAAAACCTTTTAACTTCCTTTGTTAACATCACTTTGACGTGTTAAACCACAAACAGTCAGTACTCAATAGCTGTGTCAACTGTGTCAGTATCAAGGACACTTCAGCAAAATGCAATAACGTAAAAACAGATTAAAGTTCCCACAACATCATATCAATTAAAATATTGAAAATGTCTAATCACATTTTAGCCTTCAGTACAGAATTGTGTTGTACTACTTTTTTTGGATTAAAAGCTTAACATGGTTGTATAATGTTAACCTTAGTAAGATAAGTTGTATGTTTGAAAATAAGATGATCTACTATGTCCATTTCTTCATTCAGCCTAACTGCGACTGCTGTAGACATCAACTGGATATTTCCTGACATGCATTTGCTTCTTCATATTAAACGTTTTTTACTATTGAACCCAAGAAAAGATATCCCCAAAAGCATAAAGGGCCTCTTTAACTTGCAAAGCAGCTAAAGAAAAAGTGTTTTTGTCACAGAGGTTACTGCACTACAAGTCTGCAATCATTTTCTGCCGGCAACAGACTTCTAATACCGTTTTTGCATTATTCATTTGAGTTAGCTTTTACCATGCCTTCTGTAAAGAAATACTGGGAAACAGGCTCCAAATCAGAGGTGTGCTTCCCAAAAAGCAGCAGTAGTTGATCAGTAGTAGAAGTAGGTCAAAAGTGTTTCCACCACCACCACTTTTATGTAGGAATTTAGTCTCCTGTTTTCAATCCCTGAAATAGCAGGCACCCACCCACTTCCTGCTGATTCATGGTGGAGTTGTGTGTGGGCTGCTTCATAGGGAACAGAAGTATCTGTGCACGGGGAAAGCAGCGAGTCCAGCCAGAGCGATGCCCAGACTGTCTCCTACACTGGCAGCAGCCATGGCAAACTCCCTGTGTGTGTCTTCAGACTGTGGACACAACAAAGAATTCAGGATGAACACACACTGGACATGTGATGTAGAATAATGAACAAGTCAGTTGTACACAGAGCAGGGCGGTATGCTGATGCATCACCAAACACTCTCTTAAAAGTATACTTGCCAGCAGTTTAAACCTGGAAATGTTGAGTACCCAAACAGTTTATGTTCGAAATGTATAGTGTAGGTCCTCAGCACATAGAAACTACCGGATGCTAACTTGCCTATGTTATATAATTGGCATAAGTTGTGTTACTTAGCATTAATTAGCATATGTAGACAAAAGCTAAGAAATGGCAGATTTGGAAATTTTTTGGATGTTTTTTGTAGGTTATTGAAGGATGTTCAATAAATTTCAGCCAACCGGGAGTACAGATATGGCCACGTTCTGGTTCAAACTGAAATTCTTGATCCTGAAAGCTCAGATATCGATATTACATCCTCAATAACCTCCAAGACCACTCCAAAATTGTCCAAATGGGCCAAGATTTTTTTTTAGCTATTGTCTGCATACAGTATGCTAAATAACGCAACTTGTGCTAATTGCCCAACATAATGTAAGTTAGCATCTGGAAGTTTCTATGTGCTGGGGACCCGTACTATACATTTCTAACATAACACTTTGGGGAACTCAACATTTCCGGGTTCACAATAAGCAACTGGCAAATAAACTATAAAGGGTTTGAAGTGGAATAAAAAGACTTACCCCTAAAGTCAATGAATTATCACAATCTACATTTTGATCAATGGTGCAGCCTACCTCCTTGCTGATGAAGTAGAAGGTGTTGACGTAGGCCGCTCCGCCCAGCAGACCCTCGTAGAGGATGATGGCGAACACGGTCCAGGGATTGGGCAGGAAGTGAAAACGCACCGCCAGCAGGAGCAGCAGCGCGTTCACCACCTGGAGCACAGACAGCAGAGTCAGCAGTATGCAAACATCCACCCACAGATTAGAAGGAAAAGGATTTGTACTTGGACTGTTGTTAATATTTTAGGAAATATTTTATTCTGTGCATATTTGTGATAACAGCTGGTGATAAAGATAGGTGTGTGGTGTTTATTAACAGGTAGGTTTACACGTACGAGGAATTTGACTCGGGGTCATGGTGCATAAAAACAAGAATTAAAAACACAGATAGAGAACTAGAAAAATATTAAAAATAATAAAAAATATAGTCAAATATAACAGTATTACCTTCTAAATAATAAAATATATTAACAATTCCTAAAGCAAAATTAATGGTGATCACAGCGTATTTTGTGATTAACCCTAAATTACAGGAAATTTCTTATGAAATAAAATAAATAAAAAAGATTTCCAACAGTCTTTAATTTAACAAAATAAAATGAACACAAAAGATGCCAATAAAAAAAGTGATAGCTATATTTGAAAGAGCAGTTTTCTACTGTTTTGTTCAGCAAGATAATCTCTTCATATCAACACCACTTAGTAGTTGAAGCATAAAAGCAATTACCCAAAGTAAAAAACTAATGGCCAGCGCTAAACTAAAGGCGGCTAATAGAAAAGAATGGGAGGAATGAAAACCTCTTTAATGGTCACACATGCAGAGAACACAGCACACAAAGTGACATTTGACCTCTGCATTTAACCCATCCTAGTACTAGGAGCAGTGGGCAGCTATTGTACAGCGCCCGGGGGGGTTTACTGACATATTTCATGTAGGACATTTTAAGTATTCAAATGCTAACTAATTTCCGAGTTAATGAGTCAGTCATGAACCACACTATCTGGGTTAGGCTCAATGACTCAAAACCCTGGTTCACTCGTGGACTGAAAAACGCATGCTGTAAAGAAAATGCACTCTAGGACATTTTTGAAAAGTAAAAGCACTGAAGATGAAAGTCGTTATAAATTGTATAAAAACAAATTGACTACAATCCTTAGAAACTGTGAAAAACGATACTTCTCTGAAAAATTAGAAAATGCCATAGGAGATATGAAAACCACTTGGAAGGTAATTAATAGCATAATTAAGAAAAAAATAACTGACAACAGAAATGAATTCAAGAAATTCCAAACCGAAGGAAAAACCCCAACGGATGTTGCAAATAGCTTTAATGAGTTCTTTACTGAAATTGGCCCCAATCTGGCGAGTAAAATCAGCCCAACTTCATCTAAATTGGATGATTTTCTGAAAAACTGCAACCAACAGAGTATGTTCCTGAACCCAATTACAGAAAATGAACTGCTTGATATTGTTAATACTCAACACAGTAAACAGTCCAAAGATTATTTAGGACTTAATATGAATATTGTTAAACAAGTTGCACCAAACATTGTAGCCCCCCTAGTAAATATATGCAATAAATCGTTCCAACAAGGTATTTTTCCCAATTAAATGAAAATCGCGAAGGTGATTCCGGTTTTCAAATCATCTAGTTTTTTAATAATTATAGCCAGATTTCTTTACTACCACAATTCTCAAAAATCCTGGAAAAACCTTTTAACAACCGTCTGGAGTCATTCCTCAGCAAATGTAATATACTATGCCCCAGCCAATATGGATTTCTGAAAAATCACTACTTCTTCAGCAGTAATTGAACTGGTTGAAGAAATTACCAACAACATTGAGAAAAAAATGATTACAGCTAATATATTAATTGACCATAAAAAGGCTTTTGATACTGTGAACCATACCATACTGCTACACAAATTAGAACATTATGGCATAAGGGGTCAAGCCAAAGAATGGGTCAAGAGTTATCTGATAAATAGGCTACAATATGTGGATATAGACGAGGTGAAATCAAACAATCTTCCTATAACATGTGGAGTCCCTCAAGGATCAATTTTAGGTCCAAAACTGTCCCTGATTTATGGGTCATTCCAGAATTGGAGGACATTTCATGTTCCCCATATAAAAAATCTAATAATCCATGCCCAGAATGCTAAAACATGCACTTGTTGTGTTAAACATACTTGTCTTGAGACAAAATGTCTATAAAGTTGTAGAAAAAGTGGTTTCAAAATATTATTTAAATGATCAAATAGCTCTCGAACATCCCCTAAAATGGCATTTTTCTCTCGTCCCCGCTTCTTGGTGAACAACTTGCATGTCAAATATAACATTTAAAATAGACATTTTATTTACTTTTTTTTTTATTATTCTATTGATATATGTCTCTTGTAATGGTAAAATAAATTTGTTAAATCATAAACATATTTTAAATAACAGTAATTTTGCACAGAAGGTGTGTCCCTCAACATGCGTTCAACCCTGTTACCCAAACCTTTTTAGATTGGCAGAAGAAGTGAAAAAACTGTAAGTCAGATGACATCAGCAAGCCATGTGCTAGTGCCATGGGTAGACCAAAACTAAGTACTCTCTTTTATTTTTCATATTTTTACTATCTTTTCAGTCTTAAAAGAGTGTGGCACTCTGACCCACTCAACCCTGTTAATGATATTATCAGAATAAAGCATATTAGTTTCCAAGTTATCTTTCTTGCATTAGATATCCAAGTTTGTCCTTGCATTTAAAGTAGCATTACATGCTACATCTAGCAATAATTCCTGAGGTTAAAGCTCAAATTAGTATTGATTTTCAACCCTGTTACTTTCAACCCTGTTACTATACTTAGGGTAACAGGGGTTATTCATTGGAAAATATACATTTGATGCCTAGCTGGGCAAATCACTTTTTTTGATGGTTTATTATCTGTTTTTCCTAAATACATAAAAAAAAATTATAAAATAAAAGGTTCATTTTTCAAAAATGTTGGTGTCTAAATTTTCCTCCAATTCTGGATATTAATTACATTATCAACACCTCCGACATGTTAAAATTCATTATGTTTGCCGATGATACCACCATTCTCTGCTCCCATCATAATCTTGGTGATCTTGTTAAAATTGTTAGTGCAGAATTATAAATACTATGTAACCAGTTACATAGTATTTATAATTCTGCACTAACAATTTTAACAAGATCACCAAGATTATGATGGGAGCAGAGAATGGTGGTATCATCGGCAAACATAATGAATTNGATTTTTAAAGAATTGATTTGCAAATTATGGTGGCAAATAAGTATTTTGTCAATAACAAAAGTTCATCTCAATACTTTGTTATATACCCTTTGTTGGCAATGACAGAGGTCAAACGTTTTCTGTCAGTCTTCACAAGGTTTTCACACACTGTTGCTGGTATTTTGGCCCATTCCTCCATGCAGATCTCCTCTAGAGCAGTGATGTTTTGGGGCTGTCGCTGGGCAACACGGACTTTCAACTCCCTCCAAAGATTTTCTATGGGGTTGAGATCTGGAGACTGGCTAGGCCACTCCAGGACCTTGAAATGCTTCTTACGAAGCCACTCCTTCGTTGCCCGGGCGGTGTGTTTGGGATCATTGTCATGCTGAAAGACCCAGCCACGTTTCATCTTCAATGCCCTTGCTGATGGAAGGAGGTTGTCACTCAAAATCTCACGATACATGGCCCCATTCATTCTTTCCTTTACACGTATCAGTTGTCCTGGTCCCTTTGCAGAAAAACAGCCCCTAAGCATGATGTTTCCACCCCCATGTTTCACAGTAGGTATGGTGTTCTTTGGATGCAACTCAGCATTCTTTCTCCTCCAAACACGTCTAGTTGAGTTTTTACCAAAAGTTCTATTTTGGTTTCATCTGACCATATGACATTCTCCCAATCCTCTTCTGGATCATCTAAATGCTCTCTAGCAAACTTCAGACGGGCCTGGACATGTACTGACTTAAGCAGGGCAACACGTCTGGCACTGCAGGATTTGAGTCCCTGGCGGCGTAGTGTGTTACTGATGGTAGCCTTTGTTACTTTGGTCCCAGCTCTCTGCAGGTCATTGACTAGGTCCCCCCGTGTGGTTCTGGGATTTTTGCTCACCGTTCTTGTGATCATTTTGACCCCAAGGGGTGAGATCTTGCGTGGAGCCCCAGATCGAGGGAGATTATCAGTGGTCTTGTATGTCTTCCATTTTCTAACAATTGCTCCCACAGTTGATTTCTTCACACCAAGCTGCTTACCTATTGCAGATTCAGTCTTCCTAGCCTGGTGCAGGTCTACAGTTTTGTTTCTGGTGTCCTTTGACAGCTCTTTGGTCTTGGCCATAGTGGAGTTTGGAGTGTGACTGTTTGAGGTTGTGGACAGGTGTGTTTTTATACTGATAACGAGTTCAAACAGGTGCCATTAATACAGTTCACAAGTGGAGGACAGAGGAGGCTCTTAAAGAAGAAGTTACAGGTCTGTGAGAGCCAGAAATCTTGTTTGTTTGTAGGTGACCAAATACTTATTTTCCACCATAATTTGCAAATAAATTCTTTAAAAATCAGACAATGTGATTTTCTGGATTTTTTTTTTTTCTCTCATTTTGTCTCTCATAGTTGAGGTATACCTAGGATGAAAATTACAGGCCTCTCATCTTTTTAAGTGGGAGAACTTGCACAATTGGTGGCTGACTAAATACTTTTTTGCCCCAATGTATGCATGGGTTTCAGACCTCATATAATGGAGCAAAAACAAGTTCATATTACTTTATATATATAACACCACAATACTGATATTTGAACTAAGGAAGAGTTCAATAATGAATATTTGGTGCAATAACCCTGATTGACAGTTACAGCTTTCATTAGTGTCACCATCCTCTAGCTGACTTTATGCCACTCCTGCCCCAAACATGTAGACAACCGTTCATGAGCATCAATGTTTATCTTGATAACTGGGTATCCTGAGGTTTGTAAATGCAGGTTTGGGGATTAGTCAAACCGTGATCTGCTGCTCCTCCATACACACCTCGACTGACCTGTCTGTTGACAAACCTCAGAGTGTTGGGAGCTTGGCATAGCAAAAGAAAACATGTCTTCTTGGTTCATCTTGTATGTGGCTTGGTTCATATGTCTTTCACAAATCTCCCTTATTCAAGCCTAGCTGAAGCCTCATCACCAATTCTCAACAGACTGTATCACTGGGCGTGAAACATGTTGCCTCTCCAGCACTCTGGTAAACCATTAGAAGACTTGTGAAAAGCTACAAATGTGACTCATCAGAGAACATGGCCTTACTCCAGTCCTCTATAGTCCAGCCCTTATGGTCTTTGTTGACTCATCTTTGAGGTAATAACTTTCTTTTACTATATACAAATATTAAAATACATTAAAAATGGATACTATACTTGATACATATGTTGTGGTTAAATGAAGTATTGAATAAGAATGAACCTGTTTTCTTTTGCATTATTACAAGTATAAAACCACGTCATCTTTTGTTTTTGTAACCATTTTTTACTTTATCCAAATACATACTCCGATAGACAATATTCTTATTTTTTACTTGCTATTTTATCAGTGCTTTTTGGAATAAATCTAAAACAATTATTTTACTCAAACATATCTTTAAATAGTAAAAACCAGAGAAACGAATCATTTAGCACGGGTCTCTTTTCCACAGCTCTATTTTTATAAATTGTAGTGTGTGTGAGAATGTTCTATTTCAAAATGAGGTGTTGCAGAAAAGCCAACGTTGGATTAATACATGTCATTAATCCATAATTCCTGTTTGCAGTTCCTCACAAGGGTCAATAATGTCACATGTTTGGGAGACACAGAGGAAATACTTGAATACTGTCTTGAATAATCATGATTAAAGCTTATTAACTGTACTGGTGACATTTATATTGAAATGATATAAGAACACAACTGTATTGTCCACTAAAGTGTCAAATTGTCAGTTGCACATCGAGCAGTTCAGTGCAGGTTACAGAGAGGCGTGGTGGGGTAAATGCTTGAGGAAGAAACATGATTAGATCTATTAACCACACATACCACTATTCACTTTAAGCTAATTTCATAAGGCGGCTCTGTGCCTCCCTCCTGTGTGTTTCAGGAGTGATCTTTGCCAGTATCAGCGCCGGACTGGGAGAACTGTCCTTCCTCTCCCTCACTGTGTACTTCAGCAGGTAAACACTTCCTTTAACCAAGGATGAACTGATTACACTTGTGTGGTCAAAGTTCACTGTGACCTCACAACACGGTGAGGGCAGGTCTAGTTTTGCGCTTCACTCTGAAATCGCTGATGTTAGAGCTTATTCAGAGGAAACTAAAAGGAAGCACCTTCCACACAACGCTCTCCTCTCAATGCCGTGCAGTGCAACAATTATGTGACTCAAGCTAGTGCTAACTCATGAAAGAGCATTTAAATAGCTCTTTGTCACAAACCTAAAGCAGTGGTTAATGACCAGGCGATTGTCAGCAATGATGTCACATCATAACTTCTGATGGTCTGTCTATAGAGTGGTGCAGGTATGAGTCTGATAAACAGGAGATGAGTCAACAATTCTGTTTCGCTGCTCTCAAATGAAATGGTTTTTTAATAGGTTTTGGTTCGAGGCCTGAAATAAAGGTATCATAAACGTGTGTTTGCCACAGATTTTATTTTCTGCAATATTCCAATATCCAATCCAAAAGTCCAATGGAGTCCTTGTGATCCAACTTCCCCCCCCCCCGGCAGGGATGTGCTGGGCGCCTGGGGCTCAGGCACCGGAGGAGCTGGTGTCGCTGGAGCCTTCCTGTACTCAGGACTCACCCAGGTGGGCCTGCCTCCCCAGGTCACGCTCCAAATCATGCTGGTGGTCCCGTTCGCTATGTTGATCAGGTGAGCGTGGAGTTCCAGAGCTGATAAGACATTATGACGCATTTGCACAATAACAGACTGACATTCTTTAAAGATGATATGCTGCTTCATACAGCTGAAGATAGACAGGACAGTGGGTCATTATTACACTTTTCATGGTTTGTTTTATAACTTTGAATCTCAGTGGATGTATTTAGAATAGTCTCAAATTGATTGACTGAAGGTAAAATTAGTAAATAAAAAAAGAGTTATCAAGAACATCAAAACAACAATTATTTTCACGATAAACACTTGATTGATGATGAGGTAGTAAAAAAGTAAACCATACTTTGGTCTTTCATTTTTTACCTCTACCTAATATTGTATTGCACTATTTAAATATATTTTCCTTTTTACAAACAACTGATCAGAGGAAGATCTTGGGTAGATAATGATGAGAAAATAATGATTTGTTTGTTTGTGGGAGAGATCTCCTTCTTCAGGGAACACAGGGATGTTAACCTTTGCACACCATTGAAATGCACATAAACAAAATAAACGCACTAGAGGAAAGTCAAAACTCCAAAAAGCAGAATCACCTCAGTTCTTCTCACCGTTCAAATGAAAACATTTGTACTTTTGCTTCCCCCCCCCCCACCAGCTACTTCTTCCTGCTGGCTCCTCCACCTACTCTCCCTCAGTGGAGAGAGAAGCAGTATGCTGCGGTGGTGTCAGAGGAGAGGCAGCAGCTGATGGATGACTCAGAGGAAGAGGAGCAGGGAGAGTCAACCCCAGGTACATGTCACAGACAAATCAAAAAGGTTCAAGTGGATGGAATTGAAATGACACTAACGAGTTTAGTTGCCGTTGTGCATTACACACATGGAAGGCCTTTGAGTGCATTACTGTTATTTGATCAGATAATAAAGGAAGCACATGTTGTTTCAGTGGGGAAAACGTTTAAACTTCATTTCGATATGAAAGGGATTTCATATAAGCACACCTCTGATTTTAAACAAGTGATTACATTAAACACCAGGCCTCATGGTGAGATTTAAGGTCAGATTAAGTCATTGGCGTCAGTTTATCTCAGTGTGGAGGAAGTGGTTTCAGTGATAAGGAATGTACGTGGGTGGACTCGTGCGGGGAAACTGAGATATGTTGGATGTTATCCGCTCTGTGTTGCAGAGAAAACTAATATTTACACTTTGAACTCAATGTGTTAATAACTTCTTTTGATACTGCAAAAATAGCAGTTTCACCCAACTTCCATTCTGAGTGCTCAGCTTGGCTACACAATTAGATGGCAACACATATTTATACATATTTACCAAAACAAACTATCTAAAGAGAAAGAATAAAATAATGTTAATATACCATTTGTACTGCTGTTTTTTTAAATGGACACTATTGTCCTCTAATGACATATTATTTTTTTAAGGGATGCACAAGGCCTAAACCTGCAGATTTAGATTATTTTTGGAGTAGCGGAAACACATGCTAACACATCATTGACATATTAAGACCTTTTGAGATGATAACCCAAATAGTTTATTTATAGAGCACTTTAAACCTCCAGACCAAAGTGCTGTACTGTCAAATAAACAAAACAAAACATACAAAAAATCACACAGCACAGCTCACACACCATAAAACAAGTACAAGTAAAAAACAATAGACAATTTAAAAGCAACACTCTAAAAGATGTCAATACGCTAAGGAGAAGATGTGGGTTTTAAGAAGCGACTTAAAAACAGGCAGTGTGTCTGATATGCAGGGCAGATCGTTCCACAGTGTGGGAACCACGGTCCCCTCTGAGCTTAGACCTGGTTCTGGGCACGTTCAGGAGCAGTTGATCAGCTGACCTGAGAGGGCGGTTGTGCGTGTAAGGGTGTAGCAGCTGAGAAAGATATTGTGGGGTCATGCCATCCACCAGCTCCTGAGGCAAATAGTATCACCTCCTTTGGTTCCACTTCACCTGATGCATATTACTGGAATATAGTAACACAGATCTAATAGTTCCCTTCTCTTGAGGGGATAGAATTAGCTTCTTCTTGTCAGTTTTAATTAATGTATAACCACTTTATGCGCAAGTGCTGCATTGTTAATCAAAATCTTATCGTAATCACAATTCAAACCCGTGCAGTATCTAAATTCCACAATGTTTTGGTAAAGAGCAAATATCTTTAATATGATTTTATATTCATGATTGTGCTGCTGCAGAGAAGTCCTGGTCTACAAACGGCATTCTCCCGCTACGATCCTCATTTGGTACAGATCCACACAATGATCATTTTAATTTTCTTTTCTAAATGATGCTCCTTCCCTCAATTATTGCAAATCATATTGCAATTGGAATATCAGTCAAAATATTTGCAAGTTATACTTTTTTCAAAATCATACAGCCCTAATATGGGCAGCCTGAGTTGCTGAGACCATGCTGTTTCTCGCTTATTTGACAACACAGGCAGATTTCAAGAGGCTTTTCACAATGAATGAATCATGTTATTGGTTCATGCTTTCGTCCCCCTCAATGTAACAGGGAACAGGAGCAGCGGACCGCTCACCCCTAAAGAAAAACTTCATGTCATCAGAGTAAGCAATCTTCCCTTCATTTTAAATATGAGTATCTTTCTGATCAGCCCTAACATCTCTTGTTCCTGTGAGCAGGGCCTGATGAGGTTTGTGTTCCCGCTGGGACTGGTCTACTTCGCTGAGTATTTCATCAACCAGGGCCTGGTAAGCTTGAGTTGTTGGGCCAAATCCGACATTAGTGTGCTGTAGTCTGAAAGATGGTATGAATTGATGGTTCATGACATTTCAACTTTTGAAAATATAGCTAATAGAGTGGTGCAGTGATCACTTGTTTTTCTCTGCCGACATGAATGTTAACATCAGAAGGGCTCGCTCAACAAAAGTGTAATGGCTATATATATAACCAATGGCAAAAAGAAGCCTCAGACATTCACCAGTGGGGTATTTAGACTATGTTTTTGTCTAAGATAAAACATTAACATATCTTAAAGGGGACCTATCATGCAAAATGTACTTTTGTATGTCTTCTATACATAAATATGTGTGTCTCCCCGGTGTGTCAGGGAACTCACAAAGTGTCAGAAAACAAAACCTTCTCTCTTTTCCTCCGTACCGAAATCTCTAAAAACGGGGGTACAATGAGCCCACGGACCTATCAGAAACGTCGCTATCAGAAACAATGCCCGACATGTTTTGGACGTAATATGGTCTTTGTTTACATTAGCAAGCATCGCTGACACTCAGAGCTAACGCTGTACTGGAGAGAGTGTATGTGTAAAGAAGCAGGAAATATAAAAAGGAACTCACCTTGTGATAAACCCGCAAGAGAAAAAGCATTTGGGCTCCATACTGTTTCAGATATAATCCTTGATGTGGTTTGGAACATGATAGTATTTAATCACGGGAGTATTTAGCTGAGTATCTCGTAGAATTCTGAGCAGGCATTTGCTCCCCCTCCTTTTTTTTCTTTTTTTCAAGTTAAGGACCCCGAACCTACAGTTCTCTAACAGGGCTGAAATCAAGCCCCCAGGAAGTGCGCCGGACTCTGATGAAAATATTCGTTGCGTCCAAACGGCTGTACCAGTTCTTATTATACATCCATGGCTGAAATAGAGGGATGTGAGGGATGTCTAAAATGCATGATCTGTTTGATATTTTGAGCGAAATACATCATAGACATGTTTGTATATATTTTTATATATCTGATACCCATAATATATACCTAAAAATAGCATGATAGGAGATCTTTAAGCTTGAGTTAGCCACAGGCCTTGTTAAAGCATCTACTTTAACTCTATACACGTTCAAAAGCAGTTGACTTGAAGACGAGGGAACCCGATGTGGTAAAATGCTGAATCATTTCCGAGTTTTAGAACTGATTCCTGCTCCTCTCTATAATGAGCACGGACTAATGTTGGCGTTTCTTTTCCCAGATGGAGCTCCTGTATTTCCCCAATGTGTTTCTGTCTCATGCAGAGCAGTACCGCTGGTCAGTTAACCTCAATGTCATATTTTCTGAAGGATTCAAAAGTTATATATTTGTTCCTTTTTGACAACTGTTTGCCTCTTATGTGTGTGCTGTATGTTCTAGGTGTGTGTGTGTGTGGTGTGTGGTGTGTGTGTGTAGAATGTTTGGGACTACTGTGATTAAATCATGTGTTGGTTGTTTCTGTGTATTACTGGGTGTTCCTCCCTTTTCTCTTAACATGACACGTCTTCATGCCACTATTATATTGGTGTATTTCTATTGAGTTGATACATCCATTTTATTATTATCTATACATTAATTTTTGTAGTTCGTTTGAAGTCATTGATACTGTACAGCTTTTTTTATTGTGAAACCTTTTAAATGGCTGATCTGTTTAATAC